GTTGCCGCAGTTTCTGTTACTGTTGGGGCAGTTGAACCAGTTGTTGTTGCTGCAGTTTCTGTTGTTGTTGTTGCTGCAGTTGAACCAGTTGTTGTTGTTGCCGCAGTTGAAGCAGGTGTTGTTGAACCAGTTGTTGTTGTTGCTGCAGATTCTGTTGTTGTTGCCGCAGTTTCTGTTGTTGTTATTGCAGTTGAACCACTTGTTGTTGCCGCAGTTTCTGTTGTTATTGATGCAGTTGAACCAGTTGTTGTAGCCGCAGTTTCTGTTGTTGTTGTTGCCGCAGTTTCTGTTGTTGTTACTGCAGTTGAACCAGTTGTTGGAGCCGCAGTTTCTGTTGTTGTTACTGCAGTTGAACCAGTTGTTAGAGCCGCAGTTTCTGTTGTTGTTACTGCAGTTGAACCAGTTGTTGTCGATGCAGTTTCTGTTGTTGTTGTTGCTGCAGTTTCTGTTGTTGTTACTGCTGTTGAACCAGTTGTTGTTGCCGCAGTTTCTGTTGTTATTGATGGAGTTGAACCAATTGTTGTTGATGCAGTTTCTGTTGTTGTTGTTGCCGCAGTTTCTGTGTTTGTTACTGCAGTTGAACCAGTTGTTGGAGCCGCAGTTTCTGTTGTCGCTGCCGTAGTTTCTGCTTTTGCAACAGCAACTGAGCATATGGACAATAACATTTAGTTTTTTCTCTTTCTGAGACCTGTATTACGATTTTTTGTAATGTATTCAGTTACTTACCCAAAATGGTTAACAAAACAGTCAAGCCTCGCCTGGCACTCATTGTGGCCTGAAATATTTGACAATGTGCATATTTGTTATAAATTGCAAGTTGTTATTATTGATAAGTGTGTATTCATGGACTTGCTGTTTATTTTTCTCCAGGCACTTTGCCAATGCATGTTTGGGATCAGTGTCACGGTGAAAAATTAAACTGTTGCCAATCAGACACTTTCCAGATGGCATTGCGTGATTGATCAAAATCTGATAGTACTTTTCTGCATTCATAATTTCATAGGTTTTGACATGATCTCAAACACCATTCACCTGAAATGGACTCAGGTGGATAGGCATAAGTCAAATTGTCTTTGGCATTTTTAGAATATTAAAGAAAATGGAACAAATTTTATTTATTTATTTATTATTTGACAGTAACAAAGTCATTTATACTCCTAGATAAATCTGCCTACATAAGAAGTAGTTGTCTGTTACGCACTGCCTCCACTAACCCCTGCAACCCCCAAAAGTGGAAAATTGTGTACATGGATCTCCAAAAGTTGATTCTGTTCATCTGGACATAGCGTTTTGTGGGAGAAACGTTTCGTCACTCATCCAAGTGACTTCTTCAGTTTCAGCTGACTGCAGGTTTCCCCAATCTTATAAACAATACATTTGCATAATGACTGACTTTTGGAGATTTACTGTCCTGGATGATTGAGAATGCATCAGGATGTGTACATGGATATTAAAGTGAGACTGGGCTGATAAAAATATGTGTTCTGGGACACAAAAAGAAGGTTGGAAAGTTTCTAATTGAGAAATTTGTGACCAGAAAACAAATCTATATTCTAAAAGTTGTGATATAACAGAAAACAAAGCAACTTCAGTTTATTAATTTAACTTGTTGTTAATTTAAATTGTTTTTTCTAATAATATTATTTATCTTGTAGTATATACTATGTCATACAAATTGGAAATAATAATCATGCAATTTTTTTAAACTTTTACAAGGTACTGTTTAGATCATTATTAGGAGCCAGTGAAGTAAATTTTTAAGTCTTGGTTTAAGTTTAAAAACACTACCTGCAGTGAGCTTGTATGTAATAAAAAAATTTAAAAAAACCCAAATCACAATAGAACTTTTTTTCCATTATTATTTTAGGTTAAATGTAATAAATGAAAATAAATGACAATAACTAATGCACAATCAATTTCAAATCAAAATGCCTAGCACAAACTCATTACATATAGATCATAGACATAAAAATGTCCTTACCCAGGGCTGTAATTCTTAGAATCCTTATTATGCCTCCCCTGTGCCTTTCTGATCTCTTGTGTTGCCAACCGTTTGTTCAGGTGTTATATATTTGCTTCACAAGTATGTGATGCGTACGCACAATTCTATTGAAACGTTTTGAACCAGCAGTTGAAGATGAAAAGATTAAAAAAAAAAAATTTAAACATTCCCGAACAGCATTAAGTCAGGTTCATGAGCCAGTCAGCAGCGTTGTTAGTCACCTTTCCACTGACGTGAACTAATCAGATGTCATAATATTATGTCTTTCACAGACCTCTGATCCTTTGAATTAAAATATTTTGGCTCAATAATCCGAAAAGGCATAAAATATATAACAAGACTTCTGAGGTTAACTGTATATATTTCCACAAATCTTTAACAGAATGCTTCATTAAATTAAAGACAAGCAGACAAGCAGATGATATCTATCTTGTAACTTCATCTTTGGCTTTCACCTTGGAACAGTAGACAAGTATTTTCAAAATGCGTTCAGTACACATTACAATGTTATCTTTTTAAACAATCCACTGACTATCAATGTGAGATCTACTGGCCAAAAATGAAACCAGAAATGCACAAAATCCCTGTCTTTATGTTTGTCTGTTTCTCTTCATGTTCACCTCCTTGGGAGCTGAACATCTAAGTCTCTCAAACAGCTACATCTTATCCCTGGAAGGTTCCTATTCATATCAGACATGATGGCATCTTCATTATGTAGAGCTATAGGTATTTTATGCACCTAGAACAC